AGCCAGTGAGCGGGAACCGGTCTGTATGTGGGATCCGAACCCTCGGCGGGATTGCCGCCGCGCTCCCAAGCGGCGCATTGTAGCAGTGCGCCACCGGGCCAGCCCTCAATGTGGTTTTAATTTGCATTTCCCTGATGACTAGTGATGTTGAGCATTTTATCATGTACCTGTTGACCATTTGTATGTCTTCCTTTTAAAAATGTCTATTCAGCTCTTTTGCCCATTTTTTAATTGGGTCATTTATTATTTTACTGTATAATTGCTTGAGTTCTATGTATATTCTGGATATTAGTCCTTTGTGGGATGCATAGTTGGCAAAAATTTTCTCGTACTCTGTAGGTTGTCTTTTCATTCTGCTGATTGTTTCTTTTGCTGTGCAGAAACTTTTAAGTTTGATATAGTCCCATTTGTTTGTTTTTTCTTTTGCTGCTTGTGCTTTCAGGTTCATGTTCATAAAGCCTGTGCCCTGACCTAACTGCTGAAGTGTTTTACCTATATTTTCCCTTAGTAATTTTACAGTTTCAGGTCTTATACCTAGGTCTTTAATCCATTTTGAGTTGATTTTATTGTATGGTGAGAGATGCATGTCTAGTTTCATTCTTCTGCATGTGGATATCCAGTTTTCCCAGCACCACTTGTTGAAGAGGCAGTCTTTTCCCCAATGTAGATTTTTGTTGCCTTTGTCTAATATCAGATTGCTGTAAGCCTGAGGTGTGATTTCTGGGTTCTCTATTCTACTCCACTGGTATGCATGTCTATTTTTATACCAGAGAGAGTTAAGTTGTTAAATGGCTTTGTTTGAAACACAAGGTGAGAAAATACTACAACCCTAGAATACCATAAGGCTGACCTGATAGTATAATAGAGTTTCACAAAAATGTATGTTTAGCCGTGTGGTATAGCCAAATTTATTTTTAAATTTTTAAATTTTTTATTGTTTTAGCAGCTGGCCAGTACAGGGATTGAACCCTTGACCTTGGTGTTATCAGCACTACACTCTAACCAACTGAGCTAACTGGTCAGCCCTGGATTAGCCAAATTTAGATATTGTCTAATTTTAGTCCAACATTTTATTTTGTTGATGACTTGAGTTACATTAAAAAGTTATTATTTTTTTTTCCCCTTTTGTCTTTTTTACTGACCGGTAATGGGATCGCAACCTTCGGTGTCGCGCCCGTACTGGGGACCGGCAAGAGGATCGCAACCCTCGGTGTTGTGCCCACACCGCGCTCAGCCAGTGAGCGGGAACCGGTCTCCACATGGGATCCGAACCCTCGGCGGGAGTGCTGCCACGCTCCCAAGCGGCGCACTCTCCAGTGCTCCACCGGGCCGGCCCAAAAGTTATTTTTTGAATTAAAAAAATTTCACGATAACTTTAGTCAGAAAAGTACTATTTTATGCCTTAAATTGGATGGGAATATACACTACAATTACTAATCATGCCATATTACTACAAAATAGGCCTAAAACCCTTAATTTCTTTGTGTTACTTGGATATCTGTCTGAATCATCATCTTGACTGTTTATTTTTACTTAAAAATATAATTGGAGGGACCTTAAGATTTTTAAGTAGGGATTTCATTTCTCCTCACCCCACTATATTAGTTTGCTAGTGGTACCATAACAAAATACAACAGACTGGGTGACTTAAAGAACAGAAATTTATTTTTTCACAGTCCTGGAGGCTAGTAGGCCAAGATCAAGGTGTCTTGCAGGTTAGGTTTCTTGTGAAGACTCTCTCCATGGCTTGCAGGTGGCTACCTTATTGCTGTATCCTCACATGGTCTTTTCTGTGTGCACACACATCTCTGGTGTGTTTTGTGTCCAGATTTTCTCTTCTTGAAAAGACACCAGTCAGATTGGATTAGAGCCCACCCATATGACTTCATTTAACCTAAATCACCTTTTTAAAGGCCCTATCTCCAAATACAGTCACATTCTGAGGTACTAGGGGTTAGGATTTCAACATATGAATTTTGGGAAGATACAATTCAGCCCAAAACCCCCCCCCCTTACCCTTCTTCTTAGGCCCCATCAAGAATGTCTGCTCTTTGTTTTTTTATGTTTTTCCCCCCAACTTCTCAGAAAAAGGGGAAGCAAGGGGTACTCCTTGCTTAATTAAGGAAAGGAATATTAGCATAGGAGAAAAGAATTGTTGCCAAAAAGGTCCTCCTGGGCACTGTTTAATTAGAGGAAATTAGATGGAAGCATTGATGGTAGAAAGGGAAACTCAGAGAAGGTAATGCCAAATGTTATGTGTAAACATTTATTCCTCTTCATTATTCTTTGAGATTGTCTCTGATGTTAATATTATAAAATAATGCTGAATATTCAGAAAAAAATTCAGTGTGTTTGTGCTTTCTAATTTTAACATTTGGGCACTTGTGCTCTGAGAATGATGTGTTTCCTGCTAATAACTCTCTTGAGTTAACAGGCACAACTCTAAAACATATTCCACTTGGTTTTAGACATTTATCTCAAACTGAGTATGAATGATAAGTAACGTTTAAAATTTTAACTAAACAAAATATTAATCTCCTGGTAGGAACATTTTCTATTAGTGTTTTATGTTATCGTATGTTTCTATAATTTTCCTATAGAATGGCAAACATCAGCAGATCTCAGGCAGACTTCAAGATGTCCGACTCAGAAAGCAAACCCAAAAGACTGAGCTGGAAGTTCTGGATAAGCAGCGTGACCTGGAAATTATGGAAATAAAGCAACTTCAACAAGAACTTCAGGTAAGTCCTTTGCTGGCTAAATTGTCCTTAAACATGGGCAGTTACTAACAGTTCTTCATAATAGAGTAGTTTTGCTTTTGGTGTCATGATCCCCTTTGAATCTCTGATAGACCTGTGCTATAAATATACACAATCTTGTATATAATATCAAGAAGCCCATATACCTTTTAAAACTCTGCTAGACATCTGGTTAAGTTCTGCATTATATGTAACATAAATGGATATTTATCACTTTGAGTTTTAACTCTTTAATTTAAAAAAATGTTTATACATTTGTCTTAGTCTGTTCCTGCTGCTGTAACAAAATACCTTAGACTGAGTAATTTATAAACAACAGAAATTTATTGCTCACAGTTCTGGAAGCTGGGAAATCCAAGATCAAGGTGCCAGCAGATTCAGTGTCTCGTGAGGTCTTCAAAGAGGGAGCCTTCTTGCTGCATCCTCACATGGCAGAAAGGACAAGGCAGCTCCCTTCAACCTCTTTATAAGAGGTTATAAATTTATAATCCCATTTAATCACCTCCTAAAGCCCCACGTCTTAACATTGTTGCATTGGGGGTTAGATTTCAACATATGAATTTTGGGGGGACACCAACATCCGGACCATACCATACATTAAAATAAGATCTTTACTACTAATTTTGGGAAATTTTGACTTAAAGTTATTCTTTTCAGGATTGTTGTGAGAATGTTGAATATGTGCCTCGGGGAGCTGGTAATTCTGTTCTTTACTTGTGCCATAGGGTCTGGTTCAATTATTATTGTTTGCAGAATAGGGGCTCTGGAAGCATTCTGCATCTCTAGAGTCCTCTTACCCAATTTCTTTTACTGTATGGACTGGCAATTATTCTCATGTTGTCACTGCAGATATAAACAGAAGCCAAAAACATTCTGGTTTAAACCTGCTTGCTTGCTTATCTCTGAGTTTTCAGTCCCTCTTTGATATGTACATATTCATTCTGGAGTGTCATGGCCTGCTTACACACACTGTCTAGCACAAGTACCAAAGGCACCTCTTAGTCTTTGCCTGCTGTCATCCATCAGTACACTGAAAATTGTAGGCTTTTAGGCACATTTCATTTACAAAGGCTTTCTTTACTGCCTTTTAATTTCAGTCATTTACAAATGGATTTATGTTTAAATATTTGTTTTTTAAATCATGCATAATTTCATTCTAATATTCATAAGTTGTAAGTACATTTTTGTTTGTTATCTCTATACTAAGTTTCAAAAGTGATTAAATCATGTTTTAAAGTTCAAAAAATTCTTGGACAACATTACAGTTTTAATCAAGCACTACTTTTTCTTTTTATAAGGAATATCAAAATAAGCTTATCTATCTGGTACCTGAGAAGCAATTATTAAATGAAAGAATTAAAAATATGCAGCACAATAACACATCTGGTAAGTCACTAAGGTTTCTTTTGTCTCTTTTATTCTTTTCTGGATGACCATCAGTCATATTCTGTTACTTTTTAAAAATAGCATTATTCTGTTATAAATAACATTTATTGCCTGTAAGTTAAAAATTTTAAAATAATGTGAAAAATATTACCACAGATATTAGAACATTTTTAGTAATTAAAAATAAAGAAAAATAAAATAATTATGGTATACATTTCTATCTTATAATATTTTTATATAATTCAGATATCAATAAAATAAAATGTTAGATCTAAATCTGGCTCCAGCTGGCCTGTTAGCTCAGTTGATTAGTGTGATACTGATAATATCAAGGTCTGGGGTTGAATCCCTGTATCAGCCAGAAAAAAAGTTAAAATGTAAATAAGTAAATAAATTTGGTTCTACACAAGACTACATGTGTATTTTCACAAAATCCTACACGAATTGTAAAGAACTGTTCAGGAAGACACTTTACTATGGGGCCAGGCCTGGGATTCTAGAGTGACAGCATATGGCAGTATAGGATTAAGCAGACTGGTATGCCTTTCCTCGACCCTTTATATCGTCTAATTGTGATTCATACAAAGAATTTTACCAACTTGGCCTTCTGACACATGTGGAACAAAATATTCCAAGATAATTCATGGTAATGTAATGTTTTTCTTGGCTCAGGTCCCAATCAGAAAACTGGAAAATGGAACAAAAAAACCACCTTTATATTTATTAGAATGCCAATAACAACGTAGCACACAAAAGGTTTACTTAAAGAAAAGTAGATCTACAAATGGTGTGTTAGAATTGGCTGACATATCCTACCTGTCACCCGTTGAGTTCTGTCAGTCATTCCATTCCAGGGCTCTGTATTGTACTCGGCTATTTAGAAGGTCCAGTAAATAGTGTCCCTCTTCTTTGTCCAAGTTCTGAACAAATTGAGAAATAAAGGCAAAGGAGCAAGACAGATGAGACACCAAAATACCACTTCATTATTGATAAAGCTGATATTGGACAACATAGTTTATCTGTGAGTGGTAAAGCTGCATTTATAAAACACTGGATGCATGAACAAAGGAGAATGCAGGTTTCCTGTGGACAGTTCAGTCTCCAGAAAGCAAGGGCTAGGAAAGGTCTAGGCCATGCATACCCAGGTATGTATCTTGAACTCATCAGTTAGTGAAAGGGTGGAAAGAAGCTGTGAATGTTGTACTAGTGATGGGCCCTTTATATGGAAGAAACACCAGAAGTAAAGTTCACTCTTGTGAGCTAATTTTATTACGTTGGCTGCCTTCCACTGTTGTGGCCTGCCCATGTCTCTTTTCAGACAGTCTTCCTTGTACCTGATTCATTTCTGTTCAAGGTATATTAGCCACTTCTCCATAGGCATTCCAGAGGCAGGATGAGCCAACCTTCATAATCTGTGCAGAAATATGTCATCATTATCATTATTGTCATTGTTGTTACTATTTGGATTGTGAATGGAATGTAGATCTTATTAGAGACCTGGTAGAGCTATTATTTGTCTGTGGAATGTGATCTAATTCAGCTGTTATTTATTTTAGCCATAATCCAGTTCAAAATATAAGGGGTCTTCAAAAAGTTCATGGAAAGATTCATATTATCTTTTCATTTCGCTTTTCCACAGACTTTTTGAGGTATCCTCATAGGAAGCTTTTGTTTGGGATTTGAAAATCCTATATCCCTTAACAGTTACCATTTAAGATTACCAACCACGGGCCGGCCCGGTGGCGCACTGGATAGTGCGCCGCTTGGGAAGCGCGGCGGCGCTCCCGCCCAAGGGTTCGGATTCCACATGCGGACCGGTTCCCGCTCACTGGCTGAGCGAGGCGCGGGAGCAACACTGAGGGTTGCGATCCGTTGCCGGACACGGAAAAAGACAAAGAGACAAAAAAAAAAAAAAGAAAGATTACCAACCACGGGCCGGCCCGGTGGCGCACTGGATAGTGCGCCGCTTGGGAAGCGCGGCGGCGCTCCCGCCCAAGGGTTCGGATTCCACATGCGGACCGGTTCCCGCTCACTGGCTGAGCGAGGCGCGGGAGCAACACTGAGGGTTGCGATCCGTTGCCGGACACGGAAAAAGACAAAGAGACAAAAAAAAAAAAAAGAAAGATTACCAACCACATGCCAATCACCATGCTAGGCAGTTTTCATGCATTTCCTTTAATCTTTATAACAGCCCTGTGATACAGTTGTTATTCCCATTGTGCACTTCAGGAAAACTGAGGCGCAGAAAGATTTAAGTAGTTACCCAAGATGGCATAGTGGTGGTACTCAAATTCACGTCTGTCTGACTCAAAAGCCCACTGTATACCATGTTTTCTCTTTGTCTTACAATTACCCAATGTAGTGCTTGTATATATAATCAAATTTGGTATTAAAACATGCATCACTAGTGATGCTCATTATTATGAAGAAATATACACACCTATAAAACTTTACCGATAGACATAAAAGATTCCTGAATAGATATTTTATGTTCATCAGTGAAGTAGCTCAACACATCAATACTACGTCAGTTCTCTCCTCATTCATCGATATATTCAGTTCTATTCAGGTTTCTTTAAGTGAAACTTGGCAAGATAATTCACAAATTCATCTAGAAGAGAAAATGTACAAGATTAGGCAAAACTTGAAAAAGAAAAATAATGGTGGGGAGAAGAGACTAGCCCTATCAGATATCAAAACATAAGATATGAAAGTTTAGTACCTAAAATAATGTGTTATTGATCAGAAATAGAAAAATGAGCAATGGAACTGAATAGTCTAGAAAAAGGCCTAAGGCCTATGGCATTTTAGGATAAGATAAAGTTTATATTTAATATCAGGAAAGGATTGGTTTTCAGTTAGTGATTTGGGGGACAGTTGATTATTTGAAACGGGTGTGGTGAAGCTCCTACCTCTATGTACAGAAATTAATTCTAGATAAAATAAGAGGACAAATATAGAAAGTAACTCTAGAAAAAAATTATGAAATAGGAATATATTTTTATAATCTTCATATGAGGAAAGTCTCTTCAAATAATACATAGATCCCTGAAGAAAAATATTTACAGATTTTATGACATAAAAATGAAAAACTTTTTCATTATCTCACATGTGGAATCTAAAAAAGTTAAATTCATAGAAGCAAATAGAAGGGTGTTTACCAGGGATCAGGGGTGAAGGAAATTGGGAGATGCTGGTTAAAGAGTGCAAACTTGGTTATAAGATGAATAAGTTCTGGAGACCTCACATACAGTGTGGTATCTGTGGTTAATAATAGTGCATTATGCATTTGAAATTTGCTAAGAGAGTAGCTTTTAGATGGTCTTACCACAAAAAGAAAAGGTAACTGTGAAGTGATGGATATGTTAATTTGATTGACTGGAGTAATCATTTCACTATATCAAAATGTCATGTTGTATACCCTAAATATAGATAATTTAAAAAATTTAAAAGTGTGCCTGTCCTTTTATAGAACAATTCTTTCACTTCCTGGCCTTAAAAAGTACTTTTCACATAGGTATTACAATGATGTACAAGAATATTTATTGCAACATTTTTACATAATGGTAGAAAATTAGAAACAACCTAAATGCCAATCAAAAAGGGAATAGTTACGTAAATTATAGAATAGCCATAATGTTAGTTGACCATGGGACAATTTTAAAGAATGAGCTAGAATCATATGTCCTGATTGATAAGGTATATTATTATTAAATTTAAGACAAGTTGCAGAGCAGTATAGACAATATGATCCTATTAAAACCTCATGGAAATAAAATTTGAATATGCACATATCTAAATGTAAATGCCTAAAAGAGGAATAAGCTGGGAGTTGAGACGAAGGAGGGCTTTTTAATTTTTTTGCTATATGCTTCATTTTATTTAAATTTTGTACTTGATTTCTATGCTTTTAAAAATATAATAAAGTTTAAAAATATATATTTAAATAGATAGTAATGTTGCTATTTTAATTTATTGTAATGTAATCTGCGTTATATATTTCTGTCTGGTTTCTCCATCCTTGCATGAAAATGTAAAAAAAAAAATCATAAAATGAAGCTCTCTGTTCTTACTCTCTAAAATAATGTTACTAAATAATCCAGTAGTAAATTTATTGAGTCCTTGCTGTGAATATTCCCCTACTCTTGGGAGCCCTAAGAATAAATAGAAAGCTACTTTAACAATAGCTGCTATTAATTGAGTACTGTGGGTTAGACCTTATACTATTCGCTTTATATCCATTACCTCATTTAATGAGGTAGGTGGTATAATGCTCACTGTGTAGAGGAAGAACCTGGGGATCAGATTGGTGAAGATCCTTACCCAAAGTGGAGTTTCACTTCAAGTCCTGGAACCAGTGCTTATAACCATGTTCTCTGAGGCTCTTCCCAGGACATGATCAGAGAAGGAGAAATGACTGCTGAGTTTTTTTTTCTTCGGTTGGTCCACATTATGTGTGTACATCCTTTGTAATTCTCTAGTTATACCAATTTGACCAGACAGTAAATGACATACTGGTAATGACATAGAAACTTATACCAAATATAAACTATCTGATGTTTGTATTTCAGATTCAGGGATCAGTTTGCTTCATAAAAAATCATTAGAAAAGGAAGAATTATGCCAAAGACTTAAAGAACAACTAGATGCTCTTGAAAAAGAAACTGCGTCTAAGCTATCAGAAATGGACTCATTTAACAATCAACTAAAGGTATTTATATTATATTCATTTTTAGGTAGCTGCCGTCTAACTTATTTTGATTTAATAGAATGAATAACTAAAGCTATTGTTATATGTGTTGCATTTTCATAATTTATTTTATAGTTTCAACTGTATCAGAATTGCAAGACTTTTTTAACGTTCTCTGTAAATATTACAAACATTGTGTCATGTAACTAAACATATCACTTACTACAGTTTACAGTTTTTTATGACATGCTATTTTTATTGGCATCTATATGTTTCAAGAACAATTGCCTTTGTCAGTATTACAGAACTGATCTCAGCCAACATGATCTTAGGCAACATCCTAAAATGGGAAATATGGAAAATTTAAAATAGTTCTGGGGGTAGAGGCTCTTGTAACATACTAAATTCTTTTTTTTGTTTCTTTGTTATAATGTAATTTAATTAACCTTTGTGAAATAATGCAACAATTAGTGAAATCCAAAGCATACTGTGTAGCACTCTGCATGAAAAGTAAGTTCATGATTCATTGTTTGCTGCAGTGGCAGAGCAAATGTCTAAAACATGTACTGTGTGCTTATCATTCTGTGTAGTACTAGTTGTATACCGAAGCCATACCTATGAAAGAAAATAATAAAAGCTAAAAAACAGACTAATGGCACATAATCCAAACTTGGGAATAGTCTCAGTTATTCCTTTGCTAACTAACTGAGCTTCAAGTTTTCAGAGCATAAACTGTTACACAGCTTTTCTATAAAAAAACTCTATTCATATGACTTTTATCTTTCTGACTTATTTAGAATAACATCAACACCTACTATAGAGTAAACAGCATGATTTTTAAAAAGACCCGGTGGTGGCTTCAGTTAAGGAGGGGAAATTTGAGTTGAATAATGTTAATAATATACAGAAACATATATTCTGTAGAAAAAATTTTAAAGAAAACCAAATGATCTATCTGTCACTGATGGTCTCACAACCCAGCCAAGTTATCTTCCCTACATTATTTTTTTAAAAATCTGTACATAGTTTAATTGGCTTTTTATCTGCCTTATCTTACAGTGTGGGAATATGGATGACTCTGTTCTTCAGTGCCTTTTGTCTCTGCTAAGCTGTCTCAACAACCTCTTCCTCTTACTTAAGGTTATTTTCTAATATCCAGCTCCTTTTCCTTAAGTTACTTTACTGTTTTCTTTTTTTTTTTTTTTAATATTCTTTGCCTTTATCTGAGTATCTTTAAAATAACATATACAATATTGACCTTTTTTTCTCTCTGCTTGCTTGAATATCCTTCTGCTGTCTAACTGCCTGTTTGAGCCTAATGCCAAAAATAGTAAGGTTGCCCACAGTAACCTTTCTCATGGGGCGCCCAAGATACTTTGAAATATTACCCGGTTCCCTTACAATATTCCTGTGTGTTGGGTTAACTGATGGGATGATTACTAATTCAATTCAAAGTAAATCTAAGGGATTATGAGATCAAATCACTTACCTATATAACTGAAAAAATCGTTGTTCAAAATAAAACTTACCCATACCGGCCAGCCACAAAAAAACAAACAGAAAAGTTATACTTTCTGAAATCCAGGGCAAGGTTATGTCATGTATGCACCAGTCTGCTTCTCAATACTGCTGTAAGTAAAATTTTAAAGAACCAAAAATGCAGGAGCAGCTTTAGTTAGGTCTAGTTACCAGGCCTCATGTTTAGACATGCCTACACTTAAGATAAAAATGTTTAAATTTTATGTATAAATAGTTCACTTTGCCATATATAGCATACAATGTATTTAAAATACCCAATAAACTCCTATTTTAATATAGTTTAAAGAAAGGTGCTTTATATTTACCACTTTCTGACCTTAGTAGATTTTGACTACACATTCTACTCAGTATTAAAATGGGTGACAGTAGGGCTGTTGCATATGTATTCCACAGTTAAGATAGGAACACAATAAGTAGAGCTCATTTGTTACCTAAGCAAAAGTAGGGTAAATTGGAAAGATGGTATCATCAGGGTTCCCATATATTAGTCCTTATGGTTATAGCATGAATGGCCAGATTGCTACAGATTACACAGAAACTTAAACTTAAATTTCCTCATCTGTTAAATGAGGTTTAGTGATGATTTGTGGACTGTACTCACTCACATAGGCTGATTCTTTCAGTTAGCATTTGATTCTCTACAGGCCAGCAGATTATTCTTATCTCTTGTTTTACTTTCTTCCTTCTGCATCCTGCCTTCCAGTCTTTTACTGCTTGTTGATACTTTCATCAGAGGCAATTTAAAGAGGTATGAAATCTACCGTCAGAGTGGTCAGGAGACTTGTCATAGAAAGCAAGAAAAGAGGCCTTCTGTAGTCATCATTGTAAAATGATACAGAGGGATCAGTTAACTTAGTACTGAAAAATATCCACTGAATCTGTCAACAATGAGACCTTTGCAGACCTTGCTGAAAGTGCCATTTCATTTGAATGATGAGCAGAAGCTGGATTGCAGTGGATCAGGAATGGATGGGAGTTGAGAAGGGGTTAAGTGAGTATGAACAGCTCTTAGGAGGAGTGTGAGAAGAGACCATGGGGTCAAAGAAAGACTTTTTGGTTTAAGAAAGACTTGAAGGAGACAGTAAAGAGAGAAGAAAGGAGGGAGAGAGAACGATATTAAGATAGAATATGTAAAGTGGTGGTAATTGTTAGAGCAATCTCCCTGGGAAATCAGGTTAAGATAGAATCCAGAGCATAGATTAAAGGATTAGATAAAAAGAATATTTCCAGTATAACATATGTGCAGCTAAATTTGTTGGTGGAAAGTAGGAAGTTGACAGCTTCAAAACTTAAATTCAGAAGTAAGTTGGTCTATCATAAGGAATCTTCCTGGGTAGTTGAGTTATTCATGTAATAACTCAACTGAGGCCAGAAGAAGAGGGGTTTGGACGCAGTAAGTTTTGTTGATTTTGAGATAGAAAGATGAGGGGATTCCATTCTGATGGCTTAATGAGGTAAGGTTATTAGCTGGCAGTGAGGAGGATGGATGGAATATTAGGAAGTTTCGAGAGAGAGAGAATTAGTCATGAAATAAACATCTCTGTCGGAGCTGGGTGAGGTGCAGTGCAAGTTTAGTAGGTGTGCTGAGCAATATTGAATCCCTATTTGAAGGTGGAGGTCATGAATTTAAATTGAAAACAGCATGTCTAATTGTATGATTTTTCCCCTCCAGTGTTCAGCTGCTTAGGTGTAAGCACAGAGAAGCCTGATGAAACAGGTTCATGGGTTCATATAGATTTGGGGTTTTACTAGACACGGGCAGAGAGGCAGTAATAAGGATCTTGACACAGAATTATGATAAAGATGAACTCTGAAATATGAATAGTCATGGAGGGATGTGAGGAGAGGAAGGGGTGCTAATGAAGGAAGAAGCAAATGATGGGGCCAACAGAATGAAGGTCCCAGTGAGGGAGAAAAACTGTTGAAATGGATGTACCAGGTACAAGAAAAGTTCGAAGGGTCAGAACTTACATTTGAAGAATGGGTTGTTTGGTCAGTGGTAGTTCTGTTTCTGATGATGACAAGACTCAGGGCATAATAATGGAAATGATGAATTAAGTAGAGTGAGAAAGGTCATTGGTGAGGATACCAGCCTAACGGTTGAGGTTTTGACTGGGTTGTATATGTGAACATTAATGCTTAGTAGCGAATATCAGTGAATTGTTTGGTCAGTGGTAGTTCTGTTTCTGATGATGACAAGACTCAGGGCATAATAATGGAAATTATGAATTAAGTAGAGTGAGAAAGGTCATTGGTGAGGATACCAGCCTAATGGTTGAGGTTTTGACTGGGTTGTATATGTGAACATTAATGCTTAGTAGCGAATATCAGTGAATAAGGATCAGTGACCAGGTGTCAATAGATGACAATAAAAAGGAAGGGGAGAGTGGTATTGCTGGATTTTATGAGCCTCAGAAAGGCATGGAGTTTGTAAGAGTGAGGGCAAATAATGGTTTGGAAATGGCAATGAAGGGTGAAGAAAATATTACAGTTATCTCCTTCCCCTGATGTAAATAGAGTACATGGTAATAAATGAGGAAAAGCAGTGTCCTGAGGGATCAGCCAAGAAGGGAAGGAGGTAAGGGAATTTCCATTCAGAGAAGATTTGTGGTAGATGGGAGTTTCCTGACCACAAAGAGGATGTGCCAGAAGAGTGGAGGGGTTTGAAGAGAGGAGAGTCGGGGATTGGGCCAGGTCAAGGGATAAACAGCATTATAGAGATAGGAATTAAGTGATAAAAGAATGTGAAGACAGGCTAAGTCTATTAGTAGGTGAGATAGATTTGGTCCTGATAGTCTTGGAGAACAGGTGCTTAATTCCAGGGATATGGTCCTTTAGGACAGTAGAACATCTGGGGTGATGGCTACTTTAGGCTGCTTGTAGTGACAACAGAAGTGTAATATTTAAAATCATTTATCTTAGGAAGTTATGTTTTATCGGACTCTGTGATATGTATGTACAAAGTCAATGATAATTTTTACTCTTTGATCAAGTCACACCAAGACAAATAGCAAAGCCAGTGGGATCAAAGGTGAGACATTTGACAGGCCATTATTCCATTAATAAAATTCACACATTCTATTTTTAGCAGTAAGGTACAAAAAAAAAAGTACCGGCCTAGGAATCTGAAAAAGTGATTTCTAGTCCTATCCTTGCCACTTGCTAATTGTGTAACTATTTGTCATTTACCCTCCAAATTTTGCTTTCTTCATTTATAAAACGAAGCTAACAATATCTGTTGTCATCTTTGCAGAATCTTATGATTAAGTGAGATAGCATGTATATGGAAGTGCCTTGTGAACTCTTATGTGCTATACAAATATTTTTGTTATTCTTATTAGGAAAGAGGTTGTCCAGAATCTCCAAAATTCCTTTAGTGTGTTGGAAAGCACCACTATTGACTTTGGATAGTAACTGAGGGTGTGCTTTTCCTTAGAGGGAAAATAGAATCTGTCAACACCAGAATTGTGGCTTTGTCCAGGGGGTTAGGTCTTATCCTGGGCTCCCAAGGATCTGAGGCAACCTACATTAGTGCTACCCCTCCAGGTAGCAAGGTGAGATTGATTTATTCAGGTAACAAAAATGCTAACTAGGGCCGGCCCGGTGGTGCACTGCTACAGTGCGCCGCTTGGGAAGCGCAGCGACGCTCCTGCC